ACAATATATAAATATTCCACTACATAATATACTTTTCTGGCTCTAGAATATCTCTCTACCTTTTAAATTTTTACTCTCTACAAGGAACATTTTACTGCTTAATGTAAACCTTAGTTGACCAACGCGAATTTTTCATTAAATGAATATTTTTGTGCCCATTGAATATTTTACTATCCAATGAATATTGGCCTGTTGGACCATGGAAATTAAATGGCTGGAATCAATTATCAATCTCAACATCGTTTGTATAGTTTCCCTCCACTCCATTCCCTTATGTTATGTGCGTCCTTATGAACTTTTTAGAGTATCAGACCAGTAAATACCATATTTGTATTGTTTGTACATATTATATGTATAAATATTGACTATTTTTATTATCACACCAGAAAATAACATATTTGTATTGTTTGTATTAAAGGTATGAATATTGAATATTTGTGTATTGAATGCATTGCATGTGTTGCCAGACTGGACCTTGATGCGGCCAAGAGCAGACTACGCAAGGCGCGCAGCCTGGACGCCCAGCAGGCCGTGAGTCCAGCTACTTCCAGCTATCTTATTAAGAATATATTATTAATTCTCTCTATATACTATATTCAGTCATAAATATTATAAATTCTGTCCATATATATTATATTCAGTCTATATATATTATAAATTCTGTCTATATATATATTATATATTCAGTCTATATATATATTATAAATTCTGTCTATATATATATCCAGTCTATATATATTATATTCAGTCTATATGTATTATAAATTCAGCTTAAAGAATGGGTCTGATCAACATGTACGTAGACGTATTAAGAACATCTAAATTTTGTACAGGTTTTCGATTCAGTTTAGATAGATTCATGTTAATTCAGCTACTTTAAAAATTCACTACCTTGTACATTTTAAAAATGTGCTGAGCACTCCATTGCTTCATCATCATATCAACAGGGTGATTCACGGAAACTTTTTTTTGTATTTCGCGCCAAGCACCCAAATGTTGTATGAAAAGGGCGAGAGTTTTTCATATGGAAGGCAAGGTCATGCAGTTTTGTGTCCCGCCTAGTCAATTGCCGCTATGCATTGGACAAGTGAGCAGCGTGCGTTTGCTGTCGAGGCGTACTTTTAAAATCGCCGTTCCCTTATCGCTACTCAACGAGCATTCCGTACTCGGTTCCATATTCCTCCTCCTGGTTGGTTTCGGATCGGAAATCTTTGTTATGTGGGTGAATTTAAGGGCAAGTGGAAGTGTGAATGCAAGATGGTCTAGAGGTCAACGGACTGCCACAACACCCGGAAACGTAGAGAGAGTTAGGGAAGGGATTCTGCGTTCTCCACGCCGTTTAGCCAGTAAACAGGCTGCTATTCCGGGGATTTCCAATAGCAGTTTGGTACGAATACTCCACGAACAACTGCAATTTCATTCCTATAAATTGTGGCGCAAGAACTCGGCGAAAACGATTGTATTGCTTGCCGAAATGCACGTGAAGCGCTTCTTGAAAACTTGCCTCACGATGCAGTCGTTTTCTTTAGTGATGAGGCTCACTTCCAGATTTCCGGCAACCTAAACCTGAAAAACAAGCGTTATCGGAGTGATAACAATCCGGATGAACTCCATCAGCGGTCACTTCATTGTGAACACGCAACTGCGTGGTGGGCGGTGTCAAAAATCCTAATAATTGACGCTTATTTCTTTGAGGAAAACGATCGTGCAGTAACGGTGACTACAGCTCGGTATGCGCAAATGATTGACGCCTTTTTTTTGCCGAAACCGACTGAAATGAATGTCAGGGATGTCTGGTTTCAACAGGATGGAGCCACGGCCTACACAACGCGATGTTCAATGGATCTTCTTAGACAACATTTTGCAGAGCGCCTCACACACATTGAGAGGTGACCATCTTTGGCCGGCCCGATCCCTCGATTTGGCTCCTTGTGATTTTTTTCTATTTGGTTATTTAAAATCAATTGTTTACAATGACTGTCCAAGGACGCTACCTCATTTGAAGAACAACATACGCCAAGCCATCGTCAACATACCCGTCAATGTGCTTCAGCGAGTTGAACGCAACTTCAAAATTCGTCTAAATGAATGCATTGAAAATGAGGGCCTTCATTTGTCCGATCCATGTGTAAAACTAAGTGATACAATAATCCAATAAAATTTATATTGCAGTGATATCTTTACTCGTTTTTTTATTGAGCTTTCAAATCGGGAAGTTTCCGTGAATCACCCTGTATTATCTTGATACTAATATCTCCATTATCTCATTACCAGCATAAATAATCTCTAGGTTTTTAATAAAATCTTCTATTATCTTGATCCGTTAATCCTTTATCTTTAATCTTAATTATCTAATCTTTGTTATCTTAATACCAGTCTCCTAATCAATGACTCGCCTCTGCTCAATTTTTGACATTTCTTGAAATCTTCTTGACCAAAATACTTCTTTTGACCGAAATACCCCACAAGGTTAAAACGAAAAAAACAATGCGTTTCCTCATCTTCTCTATTCTTTACATAATGCAATAATTAATTGCATGAATATCTTGTCTGTCGAATTTTGACGTGGTCGCATTTATGGATTTCTTTACGTGAACAAAATTGTTATACGCAACACAAGCAACAAGCAGCGCGCAGAGGCAATGGAAAAAACTCCAGTAACTTTGCCATACAAAACCCGGCTCCTCTTCCCCCCTCCTTCCGCTCTCACTTATACGCGCGTCTCTTGACGCATCACGCGCCCGTTTCATCACGTAGGTACTCGTATTAATGACGCATGTGCGCATTGATAGATCGAGTCCAGCAATGCGCACTGAGACTACTTGTCCAGTGCTACTACTGAGACTACTTACCTTGTCAGCGTGCATGGTTGTACCTCTCGATGGGAAAGTTAGCCGTTCGCGTGGATGTGCAAACTTTTAAGGCTCAGAATATTACGCAGTCTAGAGTAAGCTAATTTCAAGGCGCGGTAATACGAGGTATACAAGAGCAAGAAAGACATGTTAGGAAGAAGGAGAGGATTCCTGTTTGTGGAGGCGGGTCCCGTTTTAAGGAACTGCGTTCCGGTTTGAAAGACTGCGTTCCGGTTTGAAGGACTGCGTTTCGGTTTGAAAGACTGCGTTCCGGTTTGAAGGACCGCCTTCCGGTTTGAAGGACTGCGTTCCGGTTTGAAGGACCGCCTTCCGGTTTGAAGGACTGCGTTTCGGCTGTCTCTTATACACATCTAGATGTGTATAAGAGACAGGTCGCCACGTTAAAGGTAGAAGACCCTGACCTGGGCCGCTACGTTAGAGGTAGAAGACCCTGACCTGGGCCGCTACGTTAGAGGTAGAAGACACTGAACAGGGCCGACACGTTATAGATAGAAGACCCTGACCTGAGACGCTGTCCTGGGTTCTGGCGAGCATTCCCTATTCACTCAGATAAGTGAATATCGAATGTTGTCCGAATAATGACACTTTTACAACACTTCTCTTTAATTTCACTTCTTGTTTGTCTGTCTGTCTGCTGCAAATCTTACAATCGATATCCAACACACTTCTACCTGTCCAATCGATCTAAAATTTTGCACACTTGCGTAAAGTTGGAGACAACGCATGGATCAATTGACAGAATAAATAAATTTGAAAATTAACAAATTTTTTCAATATAAAAGAAATAAAAAATTATTTGTCTTCTTCAAATCTCATAATTCACATTTGACACATTTCTACCTGTCCAATCGATCTGAAATTTTGCACACTTGCATAAAGTCAGAGACAGTGCATGAATCAGTTGACAGAATAAATAATATTTAAAATTTACAAATTTTTTATTAAAAAATTCGAAAATTTATTTTTTTAAATATTTTAAAATAAAATTAGAAATCAATTGTTCACTTGTAACATCTAAGACACTGGATTCTTTAGAACTGTTGTCTCTGAATAGTAATTTTAAACGTATATATTAATTTTCAACATCACGAGCAACAAGCGTGAGTAGCGCTGATACGTCCGAACATTTTTCTTTTATTGATTCGTCTTCTGCCAATGATCAGACCTGCTACGCCTTCTCTCTTCCGGGTCTCTTTCTTTCCTTTCATTTTCTTCACCTTCCAGTTCCACCGTCTACCCCTTCCACGATCATCAAATGGTTTGTAAAAGAACAGGATATTAATATTTATACTCGAAAAATATATTCTGATCGACAACATAAGTTTACGCTGGGTGCAATAAGAAAACATGCTAAGGGTTAATTAAAGCACCTGTATACATAATGTAGAGATATAAAATTTGTCTATCGAAAAGGTAACAGTGATTATGAAATTTATACGTGGATAGTGAGCGCGATCAATTCTCGCTAGAAAGAAAATTTTTTATGCTTACACCGCAAGCGATAAATATAATTACATTGATAGCGGTGTCAGCGTAATAGATTAGGCCATTACGCATGTCGCCAATAATGAACGTCGCTGAATTTTTCACTGCAATTGTACCAGCAATAAAAGACGTACGTCTAACAAAAAAATATAGAAATCGCTATTTATGTTATCGGGAAATATATTTTCCATCCTGAACGTTTTTACTTCTATGTTATTTCACCCTCAATGAGTTCTAACTTCTGTGATTGCGTCTCTGAGACGGATGCAATCTGCGATTTTGTGTATTTGAACCTACAGTGAGACATTCATCCTTATACTGGCTATGACAATATACCTATATTTATGTTATGCGGCGTAACATTGAAATCATCCTCAAGAAGCTTGTTAAAAAATAAATCGGCAAAAATATATTTGGAAGGAGCTGAATTCAATAAAAGTAGCAGTCTATAATTTCTATTGGAATTGTGATCGGTTTCGGGAAATTTTACACTTACTAGAACCTCTGTATATCAGTGATAAAATTCAGTCAATGTCAATGTAATATGTAGATGTTATCCATGAAAAATTCTAGCAGAATCTTGCAGAAAACTTTTTTTCACGGAAAACTAATTTATTTTCACATTGAAGTTTCGCCAACGACACCTGAGCCAATCCTCAGTGTCAATAAAGATGGACTTGAAGAAGTTAGCAGGAACTGCCGGTCAGTATTTGACCAGAGCTGTTCAAGTAAGTAAATGAGGATAGTGTTTCCAAGTATTGTGATGTTTGTATCTGGATATTGCAGAATTTTTCATATTGTTCCCTTATAAAATTGTGAACTAATAGCCTAATATTAGGGCGTGGTGCAATTTCGGTCACCAGCTGACCAGCCTTCTCGTAAATGTTAGCCTTGTTAGGTATAAATATAAGTCAATGTTTACAGCCGTCAGCTGAGTCCCATGCACCATGCTCAGCTTTGAGTTCAAAGTTCAAACTTCTACATATATGCTCTAAAAGTTAAAGTATATGGTTCATATATGTCCAAATAATTGATTATGGATTAGATCATTAGGCTACTAAATGCTACTTTAGCTCTGCAGAGTGCAGAGACTACCTAGCCTAAAACCCAAAATTATTACAAAAATCTAGTAAGTAGTAAGTAAGCAAGATCAATTAGTCATGAATTACACCATTGTAAATTGTAATGTCAATTAGGTATCATTTATCAATGATACCCCAATCATCAATGATTTATGAATGATTTCATTTATCAATGTAGGTATCATTGAGCTACAAGCTACAAAAATTTCTTGAATCTTGAAAATATGTCACTTTGGAGCTGTGAGATTTCTGTAATTAGTTTGTATTTTCCAATTTTTCTAACAGTGAGATCTATAGTTCACTGCTGCAGTGGCATTCCTGGACCATTATCCTGGTAATAATTATGACCAATATAGCAATAATGTTGATTGTGATCATTTAATCCTCTGTGATGTTAGTAACTTTAATTATGTACTCCTTCTCAGTTCTCACTTCTCAGTACCATCAACCGGGGCTACTCGGGACGGTTTTGAGCGTTTTTTGTTAATAACTTCTTACCATGAAACATTTCATAAACAAGTTTAAGCTCATTTTATAGCTCTTTGCGAGGGCTACCCTATCCAATGGCATCTTCAAAAAAATTCCATATGCTATTCGTAAGGTGCCAGAAGCAAAAAAAGAGGGTCCAGAGTAGCCCTGTCGAACAAGGCTATACTCAGGACACTTGCAATAAAATTCAATTTTAAAATATTTGAAGCATGCAGAGTGTACATACACATTCATTACTAACAGTACTCTGAAGTCCTTCTTTTTCATTGTAGATGATGTAGAGGTAGAATAAATGACATTTTCTGTGATTTTTACTCATTTTTCCTTTATTGATATGATATTACCATATACACTGAATACCGTATTATTGATGCGATATTACTGTATTATTGATGCAATATTACCGTATTATTGACGCAATATTACCGTATCCATGAACATGCCATTGAGCATTTACAACAACCTTGTCCACTGCAAGCTTCATATCAGCAGCCTTATAGCATTTTTTTTTTGTATCTGTAAGCTTACAGGACAGCTTGTAATTTCACACCATTTTAATTGGGTTAAGTGAATTTACTATAAAAAAAAGATTGTGAAAAACATACCTGAAACAGAAAGGAATGTTTTAGTGACAACCATCATAAGTTTTGCAGAAATAAATCATAGTTTAGGTCAATTACTTTTCATTCTACGATGCCTGGTGCACAATTCTATATATGACATTCTATGCACTATTTTGTGATGACCGATGATGCACTAATTTTTTGATAAGTAAAATTTTTTTGCCAAGCAAGGTAAATGAAATTAATATTCTTTGTTTTTAATCAATTTTTTTCTTAACTGGAGCCTTTGCTTACTGAGGTTCTACTGTAAATGCGTTTTTGGGGGTGTCCCAAATAGCCCCACTGTTCGGAAATGGCTGCCATTTTTTTTTATTGAGGTACGTACCGTATGTAAAATCTGCAAATAAAGCTTTCAAGCTGACACCTGGGTGTAACTTTTATGTAAGTAAAATTTTTTAATACAGCAAATATTTTTTTTACTACAGACCTTAGCAGAATTAACTTCTCAAAATAGTGTTTTCACCATTTTTTTCATGAATTTGTGAAAGCTAGTAAATGTAGTATTTTTTTACTTCTTTTATACTACATAGATAGGAAAAATGTTGACGTTTACACCACTATACGGTATTTAGTTTTTAAATTCCTGGTATTTAGTTTTGCAATATTCCGATTAGTTTTGCTACTAAAACAGTTTTACGCTGTGTCGGAGGACTGTCCCGAGTTACCCCACCAGTCCCAAGTAGCCCCGGTTGACGGTGATCCTCTGTGATGTTTGCAACTTTAATTATGTATGCACTCCTTCTTAGTACACAGAGGAAAAGCTTGGAAATGCTGAAAAGACTGAGTTTGACAGCCACTACGAAACCCTTGTAGCACAGAGTGACAATGCCAAACTTTGGACAGAGAAACTTGTGGCTGGAGTCCAGGCAGTTGTTATCCCCAATCCAGGTAAGAATTCTGTTATCCCTGCAACTTTGTGCAACCATATTTCATTTTAGATTCTCAAAATATAAAGATTAAATAAATGATATACCTATGTATGGTATGAAGTTTTAGTATATTAGGCTGTTTATAGACATTGATATCAAGAATCAAGAATTTATATTTTATTGGTAGGTATATTATTTGGTAATGATATTTTTATACTTTTTTACCAGTGAGTAGATTAACACTGATTTAGTTTTGAAATCATCAAATAACTACCTAGATTATCACTAAATATCTAGATAGTTATTTGGGGCAAAGACATGTTTACAATGTCAAGGATACATTTTTAAAACTTTTTCTACCATGCACATATGATGTAATGATCTGTGTCTTACTTTACTGATGTTGTCAGGCAACCGTGTGGAGGACATGCTTTTTGAGAAGCTGGAAAAGCGGCGCCCCAACAGACTGAGCAACTTGGAGCACCTTGGCTTGGACATGGTGCAAGCCGGCACTGAGTTCGGGACTGGTACTGCCTACGGTAAAGCTATTGTCATTTGTCAGTTGAACTGTACTATCAGTTCTATAATCATTGAGTAATTTTCATTCTATTGATCCAACTTATTGTTGGTTGTGAACTTGTAAGAAGATCCTTGTTTTATATTTCTACTGGTATCTGTAAACAAGCCTTCAACTGGGTGAGAATTCCCTCTTAATCAATTAAACCAGATTCTCATCAAGTGTACCAGTTGAAGCATTGCATTATGTAGCAAAAGTTGGCAATTGAATACCTACTTTCAAAATTGACAATTTACAGCTAACATTTGGGTAGCCATCAGCATTGATAGAATTTCAGCATTAATGAAATCTCATTCCTGTTCCTACCATATAATTTATTCATCATTTATTCACCATAATCATTTTACCAATAAATTACTCATCTGGGATTGCCACCTTATTGCACTGAACTGTTAAGATGATTGCCTGCTTTTGCAATGTGAACTGTTGAAACATGAGGAAAATTTGTAGGCTCTCTGCTGCTCAAGGTGAGACAAGCTGGCCTTGGCCGTCAACTCTCGCAGAATCGTGTAGCTTTACTCATCATATAATTTTAATTCATAACACTTTTATTGGTACCGTATCCTAACAATATTTCATTTATTTTTATATATTGTTGTTTATATATGTTTATATTTATATATGTTTAATACTATGACATAATATTAATATTAATATATATATATTATTAAATATTATAATAATATTTAATATTAAAAACGACATATAAATATAAATTTATATTTATATGTTTAATACGACAAGCTGGTGGTCTTGGACATCAACTCTTGCAGAATTACTCATCATATAATTTTATTTCATAATAACTTATATTACCATATCCTAACAATATTTCATTTTGTTTTATTCACGTTATTGCAATTGTGGCTATTATTAAAACAAGAGTGTATGTAATGTAAAGTTATTTTATAGGCTCAGCGCTGCTGAAGGTGGGTGGGGCGGAGCAGCGGCTGGGTCTGGCTGAGCGGGACTTTGTAGGATGCTCCATCTCCGACTTCATGGAGCCGCTCCAGAAGTTCCTTGACTCCGATATGAAGACCATTGCCAGGGAGCGCAGGATTCTGGACAACAGGAGGTATCCTATTTAGGAGGTACCGTATCCTACTTAGGAGGTACCGTATCCTACTTAGGAAGTATCCTATGTAGGAGGTATCCTACTTAGGAGGTATCCTATTTAGGAGGTATCCTACTTAGAAGGTACCCTACTTAGGAGGTACCCTACTTAGGAGTAGGATCCCTGTTCTAGTTATTGTTGAGCAAAGCTGGTGAGATAATTAACTGTCAACAATGCTATTCCTACCTGAACTGTGATGTGATCCTACGGTAGAGAGAGAAGCTTAAGCCAGCCGAGTGCCCTGCTGAGTGTCCTGCCGAGTGTCCTGCCGAGTGTCCTGCCGAGTG